GACACTCATGTTAATAATCGTAAACAACAAAACCAGCAATATTACCACCACCACCAAAATAATGATGATACTGATGAGATTTTAATAATAATAATAATAATTATAATGATAATAATAACAATAATTATAATAATAATAATAATAATAATAATTGCATTAAAATATATTGAATGAACATTGATAGAAATAATGACTTTAATAATGAAAATCGTTATAATCATAGTTATCAACATCATTGCAATTATCGAGTTCGCATACATTTACGTGTTCGTGCTTGTAACATTCACTTAAAGGTTATAGTCTCAACAACTGAACAATATCAAGGACAATGCTATCTATTTGCACTTGAAAAAAAGTGTTTTTATTTGTCTTCAAACAATATTGGTAATTTTAATATTTGCATGTAAGCACACGCAGTAGTCTCCATTTCGAATGTTTATGTAACCGTTTTAACTTTTTTATCAGTCAAGGTTTTAATTTAAATCTACGTCATAACGAATTTAAAGAATAAAAAAAGATACGCATTCAAATTAAACGACCCAATGACAAAGTGCTAAAACAGAATTATACTATTATCTACTACAGGCTTTGACACCCGATTCTAAAAAAATACACATGTTAAAAATGCATTAATAGCCCATTGTGCGGGATAAAGATGAAGCAATTTCAGTCATACATATAATATGATTTTTGGATAGTTTAAACACTTTAATATTATTTTATTTTTGTTGTGCTTTGCATTCCAAGTTTGATGTTGTGAAATTTTGTTTACCTAGAATGAGTTGGATTGGCGAGAGACACAAAAATTCGACCATATTTCATAAAAGAATTAATATAACTGAAACTCGCATCTGTTGCAACACAATCATTGGTTTTATTTTACAGTACAAAAAAAGATTAACAGGGACAAAGCTCAATCAGAAAAGCACCAATGGAGGGCAGGAGAGAACACATACCATCACACTTTAAGATTATTTTTATTTCTGTTGTGTTTTGCATCCAAAGTTTGATGTTTTGAAATTTTGTTTACCCAGCATGAGTTGGATTGGTGCGAGACACAAACAACCGAGCATATTTCATGCAAAGAATAACAATTGTGTAAGATACAATGATTTTATTTGTCTATGAACATAAAATAATATACAGTAACATCTATTCTTTGCATTCCTCAAAGGGATAGTATATTCTTAAATCGAATATATATTAAAATCCATTACGTTCAATTTCTTAAAGTGATAAAATTTTGTTTTAACACCTGTTTTATGTAAACTTAAATCAATACAGATGATATAAGTGATAAACGTATACACATTACACATTCCCACATGATTTTGCCCACTTTTAACAAGTATTCCTTTTATTTGAATTACATTCGAATAAGTTTTAATCATGATTATGTAATCAGTTGTGCTTACTTGTTTATTTTTTTAGCAATTATGACAGGGTTATGATTGTGAATTTTGATGATAAAGGAAGTTATATATGCAGTGCAACCTTTTATTTGAATACACAATACACATTATAATGAACGTTAGATGTCACATCATCCCTCTCCTTTTACGTCACAAGAATAGATTGATTGCGACTTTGTTCTTTAATTGAACTGTCTGATTTTCATTTCACTTTAATGTTCAAATATACATATTAAACAAATATTTGAATTAAGTTTATACCGAGAATATACACCTATATACAGATAAGCCAATATGTGCTAGGTAAACAAGAAATGAATTCTCAAAATAGTAAAAATAAGAAGATCAAAAAATGGAACGACGTTAACAGTATCTAACAAAATCTAACAAAACTAAGGGCATCAAACAAATGATAAGCGAAGGAGTAATAAATCACTGAACACTTAACTTATATGCTAAGATTATGCTATAATATGCTAATATACGAGTACAGGTTACTAAAGTACATATTAAATATTGATTCACAATAATTTGCTAGTAGTGCCACTACGACTAAACATAATATAACATTAACATTTTACATTGAAAACAAGCGATGTCAAGGCTTACATTAAGTGTATTAAACTGATAAACTGATAAATTGATAAAAATCCGTAATGTGTGTAAGCGAAGCAAGTTATCTATCCAAGATTACAAATGACATTGAACACAAAGACGTATACTTATGTAACAAGAGATGAACAATGAAATAACAACAACAACAAAACTGTTGTTTTTTTACATTAAATATCATGATGTCTACTCCTAACTAAATTATTTGAAATATGTCTATTTTGATAATGATCAATTTTTCAGCTTTATTTATGACAAAAACGTCTTTAAACAGCCAATAAATTATAATAAAGGGATTAAGTAATTATTTGGTTCACTTTTTATAATGAAGGACGCTAAACATACAGTGCTACATTTCATCATTCATTTCGAATGGTATAAGCAATTAGATGACTCACCGCCTTATTTGCCTTTACGTCACATAAATAGACCTACAATATGACTTTGTTCTGCAAAGTCTCTGTTTGGTAAAAAATATTAAAGGTACGAAATACAGATTTAACAATATTTGTACTTCACTTATACTGATAATACATATAACGAAATGTTGAACAACAAATGATGAATCATTAAAGTGATATAATGACCTTCTAAGTGCAAATGGTGTATGCACAGGTAGAAGTCAAAACAACTTTAAATTTTGAAACACTTGTTTTCAATTATATATTTTACTGTGCATGTATTAGTAACGTTCGTTGTTTTAAAAGATAAAAATATGAGCGAAAGGTAACTTTAAAATGTGGAAATAAAGATAAAAAGATGGTACGGAGTTTACACAAGAATGCAGGCTCTTACAAAATGTAACTATAGAGGGCACTTATGAAATGCTTACATTTAGGCATTAAACTAAAAACAAGTACATGAATTATTATTGATCATTGAATTCTTAAAGATTATTCTTATATACAAATAACACAAATGAAGATATCTATATAAACTGTTGGCTCGAAACATATTGCCAGAAATAAAAACACAAATGACTGTTAAGAGATGTACAGTTTATCTCAACTAGAATTGATTTATTTCGATAAGTGAAGTTGCCTATCAGTCTTACAGGCGTGTTTCAGACGATAAAACAAATGGATTGTTACACTGTTTATTCTTCATGCAAACCTTATGAACTTAATGTAATATGAAAGTTACATGTTCTTTAAAAATGTTTATAAACGATACAATGCGAATTTGAAACAATGTAACTTGTTAAAGAAACATGCATGCATTAATACTTCTGATTTCATACATAAACTACGAGTATAACCACAATTAACTATTAATAACTATTTTTGTTATAGCGTTTTCTTGATGTAACAAATTTTTTTGATACAAATTTCTGATAAAAACTACAACTTTGACTAGTTTTATATGCTTTTAAAAAACTGCAATATCCCTACCAATGATTAATGGCAAATAAATGAAATAGACTTGTGTTTGCCGTTAAAATTTTGAGAGCCTTTTTACGCTATCTGCATAAATGTTTAGGTAAAACGACGTAACGACAATGGTATATTACACGATTGTATTATGAACAAATGAATGATATTTACATTACATGAACACGGAGAAAACTGTGGTAATGTGATATAAATACATTAAGATACAAATGTAACACAAACACCAAATTATAATGTCTTGTCAATTAGATGAGTCTGTTTAGAACAGCAGAACGTTATTTACATGATAGACTTCATGCTGTTGGGTACAAAACTAATTTGAAAAATATTGAAAATTATATGCATGTTTGTAGTCATGACTTGTGCATGACTTTGGAGAACGTGAAATCTTCAGTAACACATACATGTTTTAAGTTATATTAAAGAAGAACATACTTAAAGTATGTGTATGACAGTAAATTACAATATTTCTAAATTTCTATAAACAAATTTTAAGAAATATGAATGAACTTTTTCTATGTAATTTCCTTTCTTTGTTGGCCATTAAGTCATACCAGCAAATACATTGTTTATCTTAAAAACATTATGCTCAACATAGCCACATGCACCTGATGGCTACCAGTATCTAAATTAATCTAAAAATTCTGATTATATTTTATCAAATTTAATCTGGCTAAGATTTAACAAATTAACATAAATACATAAGAAACTATTAAAAACAATAAAACTTCAACTAAACAATATAGCGATAAGCTTTTATAATGATTAAATTTAGAATTTGCACCAATTAGAAATTATACATTTCATCGTTTTTTACCTGAAATAATACCTTATTTGGAGGCAACCACAAAACATAATAATAATAATAATAATAATAATAATAATAATAATAATAATAATAATAATAATAAAAATAAAACAAATACATCAGTTTCAGAAACTTGACAAAAATACAAAACAAAAGTTTGCATCAAAGCACAGATTATAATGTCCTAGATTTTATAAGCTTTTTCTGATAAAAATAACTACATACGGTAAGCTTGATTCAATACGACCAAACCTTGTTCAGCACTCTAGGAAGTATTCTTCAAAGTTAAAATATTCGTGTCAAATTCTACTTGTCTTTCTTTTCATATTTAATCACGTGTTTTACATATAATACATTCGATTTGATACATGGTTACCTACTGAATTTTTCGACCCTCAGCCGGAGAGGACCATGCACCGAAGGTTCTTTTATATTTCACTCTTGATAGAATTTGATTATAAAATGTCTTTGTAGCATTGGCAATCTTTAGAGATTCTTGTACAATATTAACAACAGCAAAAGGCAATTTTCTATTCTTTCATCTTATTGTTAGTCTCATTTACATTCTGCAATCTAAGTCATATCTTACGTTCCGCTTTTGTATGTAACTGGAGAATTTCATTTATGGTGCGCACGTGTATATTGACTTTACAGACGGAGTTAACTTCACGTGAACGTTATGAACATAATGAAATATACATTTTATTTGACAAAAAAAATAAACAACAAAAAACCCAACCCCCCCCCCAAAAAAAAGAAAAAAACAAAAACAAAAAAAACCCCACACAAACATAATTTTGTATTAGCTATTGATTTTGTAAACAACTCAAATAGCATTACCTCGCGCTATTGAAAAATATTGCATGATAGAAGATCTCTATCCTGTTTGATTTGTTAGCAACACTTAAGTAGATGGTCACATTCAGTTAGTATGACCACCGCGGGTAACGAATCGCTTTAATGTTCGTAAAACTGTAATAGGTAAAGGGAGTGACATTTTTAGTCATTATATTTTTTTAATTTTTTTATCATTTTTTTAAAAAAGATAAATACAGAATCCCTAAAGAAAGCCCAACATGGCAAAATTGAAAATGTTGCAGGCTCGGTTTGATTGAGCCTGTTCATGGACGGTACTGGAAAGTGCAAGTTACCGTCCACGCCCCCTAGCACTCGCTTAAGCAGAATTCAACATTTAAACGTGAAATAGTAAAGTTTTAAATTTAGAAACATCCGTAGATGTGTTCATACGGCGGTTATCATGGAACCTTCAATGTGACACTTCCGTGCCATTCCATGAAAAGAGGCGTATGGTCCCCAAGTAATAAAAAGCGTGTGCCCTAAACGAGAAAACAATGGGCGGAACTAAATAAAATGGAATTTAGAGAGGGGATCAGAGGTTATGAAGCCTGCGTATCACAGATAAGACATCAAAAGACAAATTTAAAAGCAGGCAACATATCCGAACCATTTAACCTTTAATAACACTTGATCTTCAATTTGACTATTTAAATTTCAGTCATTGATTTATGTCAAATAAAAACGAAGACAATCTGCAAATTCACACAAAGGATTTGCATATTATCCATTGGAGCGCAGTAGCAGTTGGAACTTCAGAAATAGGAAAATTTGCTTTTAGAAATTGGTACTCTGTCTTTGCTGATAAAGGTAGTGCAGTTCTCTATTCTCTTGGCCGCTATACTCGTTTCTTTTACTGTTGTTGTCATTTCTCTGAAATCATAACAAACGTGTGTTCTTATTTAATTGGTCCTTAGTACTCTAAACTTAATGCATATTTCTGATATATGGAATGAAAACAATTAAAAAGATAATAGTAATGCATCGGGGCAAGACACTAAGGTCGGTTGGCGGACAGGGATTTGTTTAATTCAGTCAATCACTACAATGCAAAATGCGTTGGGACGTGTGAACCTAGGTAGATGTGATACATAACAGTGGCATTCAGGCGGTCAGGGTAAAGCGCTTAGACACTATGATTGGCACATAACTTAAAATTCCCAACCTTAACCTTATGTCCAAATAGACTCCAAACCTTGAAAATCTCAGGTCATTATCCGCCAAACCATTCCCCGCAAAATGATCAGAATGTCAAAGTGTTAACTCTACGCATTGTATTGAAAAATGTTTATTTTGAACGTTTTTGTGTTAAATATATGTCCTGTATCTGAATACGGGTTTCCTTTTACGCCACACATCCAAATACAATTATATCGTCATATAATTGCACGTTAAATAATTATTTAAACCGGGCATACGAAAGGCTAATTTTTTGTCGTGAACTTGTACACTTCGTTAACACGTGGAATAACATAGACACACACATCCTTAGATTCGGTCATTTATTGTTTGAAATTGTAATATTGATAGAATTTAGAATTAATATTTTATGTTGGATGAACATTTAAGTTCTGATCATTTGTTTCATCATGTACATTTATTCAAATAATTATGCTGATTGTTTTTACGGAAGAAAAGAGCTTGTGTTCCGTGTTAATAGTTATTCTGGCGGCGGCGCCAGGTTAAGCATTAAATGATTAAGTCTAAGATCATTTATATACATTGAAGTGCAAAACACCTTTTTAAGAAACACTGCTATGCCCCATTATCATAATCTGTCAATATTTTACATAAAAATAGGTGTAAATCGATTCTGGTTTGAAGTTACATTGCATAACTTGCTTCTATGCTGTACTGCAAATTTGTATTTTTTTTATAGGTTTTACTGATACAATTATCGAAAATATGATTTAAAATGTAGAAACGATTTACTTAATTTGAGCAAATGATGTAATTCAAACATGAATGTATTTAATTTATTCTCATTTTTATCGAATATAATATTTTGAAAACAATTGCATTGACGGATGAAACAGAAGGAAAACAGAATATCACTTACCACTCCGCTGTCACTAAATCCTTGATGTTTACTTCCTAGATAATCTGGCTTTGGGGACCTGGGTCTTCCATAATCTGGTGGAGGCGATCTTCTGCCGTTCCAACTGTTCCGTGATGCTCTAAGGTCAATGTCATAACTTCGATTTAAATCTTGATTGTAGCTACCTATACGCCTTATCTCGTCACCAGAATGTCTTTGGTCATCAAAACGGTTGAAGTTCATACCGTTGTCTGCTAGGTTTGGCATTGAACTATAGAGATTAATTCTAGGCAGTTGGTATTGGTTTGGGGAAAGGTCTTTCTGGTTTCCAATCCCACTCACTCTATTTTGGTGTCCATAAGGTAGAGATGAATTAGAAAGCCTGCAAAAAAATGTAACAAAATAAAAGTAAATGTTTTAAATAACAAGGAGCATGCTAGGTCAGTATGCAATAGTCTGTTTTAGTGCATATTAATTTCTCATTATGGTGTCTTTCTCGCAACAATATCTGTAGCATTTAACTTTACAATTCCTAATTTCAATAACGATGAGATGTATGTGGCGCTGCAAACAATAAGTTTGAATATTTAACTGGTCTTATGCATTTATCAAACCATACAATAGTTAGACAATGTATAACTTCACACTTAAAAGTTTAGAACAGCTGATACTATAATTTAAAGAAATAGTCCTTATCCCATACGGAATTGTTCCTCAGGCTAAAGTCTGTTCAATTTTACGGTATCAAATTATTAAAAAAAGACAATGACCTGCGGCTATAAAATGATCCATCACCGTCGTCGTCATCAATGTATCGATTTCTAAAAAGGGAGCCGTCCATATGTTTTAGAGACATTTTTTCTGCTTCTTTGACCTTCTTTGATCTGGATCTAAACCACAAAAATAGGTTTAATCAATGTTTATTTGTAAAATTCTTTTACATTGTAGTTCACATTGTAGTTTCCATAAAAACGTTGTTTGAAAACATATGTTGATCGATACCGCAACATTTCTAATTCTCCCTTTAATGTATTGTTGAGGGTTCCGCATTTCTGTATTTTTGACGATTAACCAAACAAGATAAAGTGATCGACTTATGAAACTACGACATAACAGAGCCATTTAGAGCAGTGAAAACATACAGTAAAACATAGTGGATTGGATTACAATAATGAATAATGCAAAACACCGCTTAATCCGGTTTTCAGTTTTCAACAATAAAATAATGAGAAACAATGATCACAAAGGCTCACAAAAATGTACAGAAAAACAATTTTCATAATGTTATCAGAAATATGTTTGTGACAATATGTGTAAATACCTGCAGACTATCATTACTGTCAATGTCAATATAATAACAACTGCACCAAGACTGCTCGCTGTTGCAATAAGAATCGTTGTTTCATCTAAGAAAATAAATAAACACAATATTGTATTCATTGAAGACATTCCTGGAGTTGAGTGAAACATTAACACATATTTTGAATTCGCATATTTCTTGAAGATGAGAATAATAATATATATATATTTTTGTAAATCTAGTTTTGTAAATAAAGAAAAAAAGCTCTCAGTCTGTGAATTCCAAATTTTCATAACGCAAGAAGAAATATTGATAATTTCCCCATAATTTCATATAAGTTGGTGTATATGTTTAAATAAAACAAAACATGTATCGAATGTGTGGTAATCAAAGATAGCTTTTTATAGGAAAAACTGCCGGGTAATAAAATTAACAAGAGCAATCAGTGACCACATAATTATGTCACCTCAAGCTTATTTGCATAGCACAAAACAAATCTTTCAAGGGCAAACACTCGGCAAAATCATTAAAGCAGAAAACCCGTGCAATATGCGCAAGAAATAGAGATATCGATCAATTATGTAATTTAAAAGTGTTATTGAAATTGAATAACTAGTACAAGAGGAGAAGTCCGGACAAATTTTATCAACACATGTTTTATTCAAAGGCAAAACCCAGCAAATATTCATTCAAGCAGAAAACCGTTGTTATATGCGCAGGTAATTGAGTTACCAATCTATTGTGTTGTTTCATTGTTTCATTTAAACAAACTTTAATTAATGGGTCATAATTGTACCAGAATCATTAAATCGGGAAATACAGATTACAAGCACAAAACGCCAACTTGAATTGGCACTGATTATTCCTGTTCATTTTGAATGAAATCGCACTTGCAGTTTCCAAGGAGTCCAGACAAAATTCTGTGTAGCTGGCATCACACTTAAAATTATCTTTCTTATTCAACTTGGGACCCTCTCAAAGAAAACAAAACACGTGTAACATGCACAAGATATTGAGCTTCAATTCAATCCTTAAAAGTGTCAAAGAAATTGCATTTGTAGTATATGAGGAGTAGTAAGGAAACACTTAAAAATAAAAATCCTTTAAAGAAGAAAATCGACAAGTACTCGAGTGTAATCTGGACAAGTTTTTTGACGGAAGGACAGACGGACAAACTGAGACGATATTAAAAGTGAAAACCAACAGTACACTATGAAAAAAGAAATAATCTGACGTTGAAACAATTGAGACATGGAATGGGCCCATATTGTCCGTAAAGTATTAATATCAAAAAAGTACAAAACTAGGACTGGCATAATATATATTAATATGCAAGAACTGTGTTATAGCCATAACTTAAGAAATACCTAAATACGTTATGTAACAGATTTGTATAATGAACAGTGTGGTGTAGGTAGTGGACTTGTACAAACATATCTTATTTCAAATGTATTGAATAATCATTGGGTCTTGAGGCATGCGTTTTATCAATACAAACAACATATTTTTGTAGCATATGGTCACAAATAGCAAAAACGTTTCATACCAGTTTTAGAAATGTGGGCATTCTCACAATATTTCCCTGTCCACCTATCACGGCATCTAGAATATACATATTTTCTGACGTAAAAAGATGATACATTCAGCAAAATTAAGTATATTTCCCTAATTATGTAAAAATATCTTACACTGTAGTAAACTGTAATTGCGAGCGTTTGTGCAAAGAAAATTTAAACATGATTTGAAATTCATTTTAATACTTTACAGCATATTATATAGTTGCTTGTTTATTTAATGCATTAAGTCATATTTAAAGTTATACTTTTAAAAATTTAAGATGGAAATAACTTTTGAAAAACTAATATATATTTTTCAAAGCAATAGTTTTGACTTATATATTAACATATATCTATTACAGCGAAATTAAAATGAAAGTAATGCAAAAGTAATTCGAACCCATGTCTCACTCTTTCGTCGACAAATGTGGAAATAGTTTTTGATCTTGTAAGAAGGCACAAATCTACGATTACTTGGTTAAGAAGAAAATATCATTAATACTACGACAATATTAACATAGACACTATAAACTTACACACACTCAAAATCCTTATTATCTTGAGTCATTCGACATGTAGCACTATTTTCACAAGGATTTTGTTTACAAACCTCTTTTTTTACTGAAATATACGATTTTATTATTATATATACATTTATCTTTCGATAGCATATTGAAACCTTTTTAGCATAGTTTTTATATACTAATTTAATCATAACTATTATATAAAATATCCGTATAACAAATCAAATGGCAATTCACTAGTTTAAGCATGTGTAAATGTAAATAATGAAAACATCATCTTGATTTCTATTCAAGTCAAGGCTTAAAATGTGCTTCATAATGTACTGAGCACCTTTATTGTTTTTCATTTCTTTAATCACCATTCAATCTGATAAACATATTCATGCTGTTTGTCTAAATAATGTTAATTTTTATCCAGTTGTGATAATAAAGGTGCATGCTCAAAGTTTTTTTTTGCACCTCTCTTGAGTCAATTTCCGGGGAGTATCAAGCATTGGTGCTAATTTTGAAAGCATGGTCGTTATAAGTAAATACTTTACTTTAATAATCAAATCACTATCAAAACTATCAAAAAGGGACATTTCTTTGTCAGCTTTGATAGTTGTTAACTTTGGTTTGTTCAGTTCCATAGGTAATTCAAAATAATGCCTTTACATTATTTTATGTTCAGTACAAGTTAATTCCAAATATGTTTCAAAGTAGAAATATGGGCTAAACATTGTCAAAATAGATATTACACTTGGACTGCTGTGTGATAAAAAAATATTTTATTTTTTACCTTCATCAAGCATATTACAGCTAAACAATCGCGAACGAAACAAGCCGGGCTGTACAAAGTGATTTGTACAAATACCCCATTCAAACAATAACTGACGAGTTTGAGAAATAAGGAACGTACCTTCACAAGTTAAATTCGACTGTGTTCCATTATTTGTATAACCTTTTTTACAGTCACAGTTTGCGCTTCCATTCACAAAGTTACAAGTCGAGGTGTCCGGGTTACAAAGGTTAAACTTATCAAGACTACAAAGGGCAGCTGATTGATCTATAAGATGCAAAAATTTCCTGCTTTATATCATAAGTTGATGTGTGTAAAGCATAAGTGATGCTAGAATTATAACATTGATTGCTTTATAAATTACACAATAAGCTACATTGATCAATATCTGCAAAGGATTTAGTAAACGTTTTTTATTGTTTTGTTTCCAAATGTGTATGTCAAAGTCTTTGGCTCTGGAATTCAGATCACATAATTCCCTTGAGTTATGATTCATGTGCTGACTGCTCCCACATTCATTCATTACATCGTAATTGGTTGTCTTGAATATTTACGTATGTTTCTTACACATGCAACTTCAAAGTTGTGATTTTTTTGCTCGTACCGATTTGCAATTAACCAGCTGTCGACATTAAGCTTGTCTTTTGTTCGGTCTTTCATGTACACGTAGAGATTGTGATGCTTTTTGAAGTTTTTATTTGTCGCTAGGCAATTCATGATCTCTAACCTAACGTTAACATAGGGATCTGAGGTCTATTAAAATGTTTTATTTAAATAGACACCGCAATTGACTTATTTCCTTTGGCTGAGCTGAGAAAACACTTGCATTAGTTGCAATATATACGGATCTACCATTGTAAAGGGAAAAAATAAGCATACATTTATTTTTAAGACAAACCATTGTGATTTAAATGAAAAACTTGACTTGTCAAGAACCAGCAAAAAATAATTCATAACCATATTGAAAATATTGTATATTTTAATTTTTATTCTCGAAAATGAAAAAAAAAATCTTAAATATTACGAACCTTCTGCTATGTTTATTTTGTGTGCAATGACCACAGGCAATTCTCGCACACTTTTTGGCGCTGGACATCCGTTTTGAGAACAATTTTGTTTAATATATTCTGTCCATGCTTGACTTATTTTTTCATGGGGGATTGATTGATTGGAATGCAGGACGAAATTAATCTCATAGTTCTCCGAAGCCTGTCTGTTAATAAATTGAGATAAAATGAGATAGGCCATTGAAACAGTATTGTAATAATACCATGCAAATGTGCGCATGAACATGCACGTGTTGAATTAGGATTCGATGTAAATAACCAGGTCTAACGATACATATTTTTTTATAAAAATTATCAAAAATGGTGAATTAATCTCATCTCATATATAGGCGAAGAACCACGTCGTCAAAAATAAAATATACATCAAATAAAACCAAAATCATATCTGTACCAATTGCACTCTTTTAAACTAAAGTGTAAAGAATGAGTACATAAACTTATTCCATACTTTGACTTAGCATCATCTTGTCAAATGAAAATACAAATGAATTTAGTCAAAAGGTATGTAAATGATCATAAATATATATTGGCCAAGCACCAACTATGCAAATGAAAGGAGTAAAATAAATGTAAATGAAGTCATTAAATATGTAGGACAAGTGCTATCTGCTTTAAACATGTTAAACTTAAATGAAAAATACATATAATAGACTTAATTCTATATCTACGTTTGACACTATTTATGTATTTATTGAATTCAAAATAATTGAACTCATATAAATATTTTTCCATAACTAGCAAAATCTATTCGATACAATAAAAAGTCTTAAGATTTGAAGTAACCTCATCTCAATATATATATATAAAAAAGTCGAAACAAAACGTCTAACAATGTACAGATTAACAATTACGAAAACGGCAAAATTAAGTAAACATGCCTACCTTTTTTGCCTCTTTCCACTACCAACACTTATTACTGATATTATATATACACGAACATGTTGATTTTGAAACTTTGCTGCATATATTGTTTCTATCTGTAAAACAAAATCAGGCTTATACGCGAAATACAGTATAGGTTTGATTTGCTACGTTTTTAATAAAGATATTTGCTGTGATGTATTCATATATTTATCATTTTAACTCTCGATGCACAGGAAATTTCATATAGAGATAACAATGAAAGAAAAAATACTCATTGACGCACCTGTGCCTTCATGTAAATGCTGATCTCGCTCTCCTTAACACCTTTTGATACCGGAACTGATATTCCTGTCGACATAATATACTGATATCCACCTGCAATAATTGTCATATTCAAATGAACATCAATTTTTATGCAATGCCGGAAAGGGACATGCCGATTTGCTGATTAGCCAATTGCTGCATTGCTTATTTGCTAATTGCTGATTTGCTTATTTGCAAATTTGCTTTTTTCCAACTGCTGAATTTCTTATTTGCTATCTACAATTGATGCTGACATGTCATTGAGAATGTCTAATTATGTGTTTAAAGGTATAGATCTTTATGAAGCTTGAGTCAGAGATTGATGCCATAATAAACACTTGATTAGTCTTATCTTATTGAAACATTGTGCCACTACTAATATTATAATGGTCCATCGGTTTTTAGTCAGTATTCACATAACATCTGACCAAAAAACAAAACAAAGCTTGTCCCTTAAAATAACATGACCTTGGTGACCAGGGTATAATGTAAAAAGCATCTAAATATACTTTGTATGCACGCTGCATAACATTTATGTGAAATTACATTAGTTAAATATGAGCAGAAGTAACAGAGATATGACAGAAAAACAAAGGCTTCCGAAAACCGTTAACCTTAAAAATAACCAAAAATGACCAAAGCCACATTGGTGGCCTTGACCTTCAGTTTTATGGGCACAACCTCTTCACAACCTCTTCATGTACTTTGTATGCATGATGGCCAATGTTTATACAAAGTTGTAGTAAGGTATCAGCAAAGAAAACCAATGCCTAGTAGAATAGTATCCCTATTCTAGGAATATAGGAGCTAAAACTGAAATTCAACTTAATTAAATAACAAGTACCTTTTGCAATTGAATTTATTTCTTCGAAATCCATATTTCTTTCTACCTTTACTTAAGATGAAAATTGCCACAACATTTTATCAACATAATAGCATGATATAGGTTCATGAGCTTGCAACAAAGTCTACACAGACTTGTTATGTGAAATCAAACATGAACTCTGTGAGTCGGACGTGTCGCCTGACGATAGCAGACCAGTTACTTTTCTTATCTCCCGAAATTGAGTTATGACCGCTGAATGATTATAGTACAAAGAACGATTTTCTCTTCAGTATATTTTACGTACATGTAGGGGCAAATGTTAAGCTCTGAAACTAGAAGTCTAGTTTTGTCATACATCGCTCACCTGATATAAATTGTCTGCTTTTCAAAGAAAATGTTAATGTGGCATAGTTTTAGACACAACACAACCTAGATTTAACTTTAGTTTCAAGAAGATACATAGATAAATTTCCAATGTGTAAACAAGCTTTTCCTTAGATTTGACCTGATGACATAGTTTTTTCCTCACATTATAAAACAGTACAGAACAAAAGTTTATTCATAATTTCTATGCGGACCGCATATCGATTAAACAATAATATTTTGCATGCATGCATTAAAGCAAAAACGGTGTTAACTTGGCATATAAGCAAATCTGCAATTTATCTTTAACAAATAAACAATTTAACAAATGATCAAATTGGCAAATACGCAAATCAGCAATTAGCAAATATGCAATGAAGCAGTTGGCTAATAAGCAAATTGGCATGTCCCCAAAGGCATTCCGTACAATTTCCTGTAGGGGTGCACTAATTATTCAATATTAAACTACTTATTTGCTTAAAGATGTGTTACTTAATTTGTTACTTGTTAATCTAATTTAGTTCAATTTTGGCTGTCTTTTCTCCAAAGAGTATTCATTTTCAATGAGAGAACGGAACAAAAAAAGGGACCAAACATTTTTAAATGTGTGTACTTTTTTCTTCGTGTTTCTTTTGGTCAGGGTATGATTTTTGTTTCTTATCGACACAAATTTGCACTTTTAAGTGTGAAGTGAGAGAAAATCTTGTTATTTAAGAAATTTGAAATATTATATTTTATCTGCGAGGTAAATCCCCTTCATTTAATACAACTATACTGAACTGTGTCAGTGTAACTATTTGCAATGATAAAGTGAAAAAGTGATAGCTAATGTGAGTTGACACAATTTGTCAATCTTTTGGAACCAAAAGTCATTTTGATAACAACTGAAATGTACATTTTTATTAACTTTTTCTTAAGATATGCTAATTCTATCATATTGACTATATCATTATTCGTTTTGTACGGTAAAATGTATAAAGTAAATGCATTCTTCAATTTGTGAAATCATATGTGTTGAAAGACATAAACTTTTTTTATTTTTCTATTTTATTCAATGTTGCTTTGAAATGAAATGACTTACCTCGACACACAGTCGTAGTGGAATTAATGCGCTCTGGTTGCTTACCGTCCGAACAGTCACAACTCCAAGAGCCATCTAGATTTATACATACACCCTCTTCACACTTTGCGCCTTTGTCGCATTCGTTTAAATCTAAAAATAATTATTTACAAAGAGATGACACATTTTCTTTTTCTTAATAGTTTAGATACGGTCAAAATTCTGCTATTTAGTAAGTTAATTTTCTTTAGTTTTTAAAGTTACGTGTTTACAAACCTAATTGAGTGAAATAGATTTTAACATACCGATAAATAAGACAATTCGAAACGACGGTAAACATCCTAAGTATGGCTAAAGGGATAATTAGCCTGATTGTAGTTAACGAAAGTTTATTGTACTGTATAATATCGTTTCAGAGCCATCTCCCCGAATCTAATCAGTACTGGACTCGAAAAAGAACACGATCATTGCCAAATGTCTCTTTGTGAAATGCCATCGCATTTACCACCAGGCCTAGACACGCCTTATTACTACAAATATTAATTCCGAGAAAAACATCAATGATAAAAATATTAGTTAAAGATAAAAACAATGACTGATTTACCTTCGCATTTAATGACAATTTTTGTTTCATTATTTGATTCTTTAGAGTATCCTTCTTCACATTCACATGTCCAGCTTCCAAGTGTGTTATTACACTTTCCACCACAGTGATACGATTTGTTTGTGCATTCATTAATGTCTAATGTAAAAAATACAATATTAAGTTTAGTGCAGAGCACTTACATATTATGGTTATTTCCTTAAAATGTTTTCACCTAGTATACTTTGAAAAAATTATTTTGTAAGTTTAGACAGACAATATTACCATAAAATGGATAATAATGCAACTTAAACAAGAAAACTATTATACCTGAAGTTTTCAGAAACACAAAAACTAAATTAAACGACAAAAAACAACATTCAATTTATTGAAAAACAAACAGTAATTGTATACCTTCACATGACTCATTCTTATACTTATTTTGAACATATCCACTTTTTGGACAGGTACATATATAGGTTCCTTTTGTGTTATTGCACATTCCACCATTTCCACAGATACTTGGTTTCTCGCATTCGTCAATATCTAGTTTAAACGTAAAACAGTATACTTTAATTGTTATTTTGCCAACTAGTTTGCAAGGCAACTCTTACCTCTTATACACAGGCTTAAGACCTATGTACGCTATATCATCCTCGAGTTTCTGTGTTTTTTAGACCATACAAAAACAGAATCTTGCATGCAACAGAAAGAGCAGATTGAAAAAAACTTGTTATAGGCACACTTCAACGGGATCGGTCGTATTTCAAAAATATTCTAACAAACATGAATATATGATTTAAAACAAATCAATCATTACTTACATAAGATTCGGTTTGCGCTTTCAGAAGTTTTACGCGATTTATGCTTTATCAAAACCAAACATTTCTCTTTGTATTTACGTACTTTCTGTTGGCTTATTCATTTAAATACTTTGAATTCATTGTATTTGATTTACACAAATTAATGACATATATTTTACTGATAACAGCAGCTTAATATTAGTTGATATCCTTATTTTAATTCAAACGTTTAAAGAATTTATATAAGAGTGCAAAACAATTTAGCAGCCAATGAATCGGATTGTCAAAATTCTATATTGTCCTTGTATTCATTAGCATATATTGAAATATAAGATAATGTTTGATATCATGCAAATACCTATGCAGAAGACACGGCTTCCGTTTTGGTTCCGTTTAACTGTAAAGCCTTTCGAACACGTGCATGTCCAATCCCCCACGCTGTTGCTACAGGTTCCATTACAGTAGTACGAATCATTTTTACACTCATCAATATCTGGATAAAATTGTAAAATCATCTTGATATTTCTTCACTGCATACACATAAACTTGTTTGCTAACATGCAATAGTCTTTAACAATGTACCGTAGTCTATTTTATAGGATCAATAGCTCGAAAGTGACGTACATCCAATTAAAAACTCATACAATTTTCTATAAATCGCTGAATATCGTGTATCCTTCTGTTATTGTGAGTACAAACGGAAACATCGCTTACATCTTTAAAAAAATAATGAAAGACATATAAAATGTAGCCTGCAACTGTACAATCAAAGATCATTTCGGTACTTCTATGTTGTCCTTGTATTCATTAGCATATATTGAAATATAAGGTAAAGTTTGATATCATGCAAATACCTATGCAGGATACACGGCTTCCATTTTGGTTCCGATGAACTGTATAGCCTTTTGGGCACGTACATGCCCAATTCCCCACACTGTTGCTACAGCTACCATTACAGTAGTACGAACCATGTTTACACTCATCAATATCTGTAGGAAATTGTTAAATCAGCTTGATATTTCTTCACTGCATACAAATAGATGTATTTCTTATAATGCAATTTGACCAATGAAATCGAATTCTTTTCAAAAGATAAATAGCACGGTAGTGACCTACATCATATAAAAACTCATACTTCTTTCTATAAATAGCTCTATATTGCTGTAGCCTTCTGTTATTGAGAGCCCAAATAGATCGGACATATGGCAAGTCTCATACAATGAACAAAAGTAAAGTAGTTTACAATTTTAAAACTCGCAACTGTGTTGGCAATAACTTGAGGTAAATGACCACAAGCATTCAGCCTCTGAAGTTCCAATTAAAAACTTAAAGTGTATAAAGCTAAATATCTGATGTATTTCATTTTAAAATATAATACTTCCAAATTGTTTGTATGAAATAGAAATGGCAATAAATTACCTTAAAGAGAGTGGCACATGCACAAAGTCATGGCTAGAGGGATTAAACCATACTTAAAATAGCAAAATAACATTTTGATCCGAAACAAATTATTATGTTTACATACATTATTCATATGTAGTAAATAACAGAGACATTCTTTGTAACCTCTTTTTGGGGAATCAATCATATAACAATGGAACCATTATAATTTTACTGTTGAAAAAAAAAAATATTTCACAAGATATAGATTTATACTTTTTAAAGATATTCATATATGATTTAAACAAAAAATAATTAAAAAGTATTCTTAAGTTTTGTTTGCTTAACATATACCATCATTCATTTATGAGTATAATATAAATAAGATGCATCGGATCATTTACCGTCGCAACTTCTAACTGTGTCTGTGATATTTCTAGCTACAAATCCTTCCGTACACAAACAATCCCAGGTTCCAACAGTATTACTGCAGAGCGAAGAATTTTTCTGCCCGTGACAAGAGTAAATTTCATGTCTTTGACATTCGTTGATATCTGAAGTAATTGTGTGTAGAAAAACTGATTTAAAAAAGAAAGGAATGTAAGAATATGTAGTAGATTAAAATTTGCATGAAGTAAATTCGTAGGTGGTCTGCTTCTCTTGGATTTTTCTTTCTCGAAAATATTCGCCTTTGTGATTTCTAATACCAGTCGCATAAACATATTTTATTTCTTACTAAAAACGAATGTACTTGAGACAAAACTGTTGACAACTTATAACTATGATCTCTGTAAGAGTGTACCCAAAGTAAATTCAAACAATTCAAGAAAATGTTTCAAAAAAAAATTTGCAATACAATTTTACAACCAAAATATCGGAATGTCTTATACCTATGCATTTTTTGTTTGTAACATTTAGCTCGAACCCATCATAACAGTTACATTCAAAGCTGCCTTGTGTATTTACACACTTTCCATGTTCTGAACAAAACTTTTTGACCTCGCATTCATCAACATCTAAAATAATTCATTATGATAATTAGAAAAAGGCAAATATGAGAAATGCTACAAGCTAAGTGTGGTCCTGATAGTTCCTTGGGGATAGTAGGTAATGCACTGAGTTTAAAATAAATATGCTAAGAAAGAATTGTTACAGCACATGTTATGCACACTTGTAAAGATTACGTGTCCTGTTGTTGTTGACACATTCTTTTAAAACATTAAAAACTAATAGCCAGTCACAATGCCCGTGTTGTATTGCATTCTAAATGTTGAGTATATTTTTTTAATTATGACATATTGAGTTCTGACAGTACTATCACCCCAACAATATATCCTCTTTCAAACATATTTCAAAATATATTTTATCTTTCAACGAGTAATGAAAGACATAAAAATGTCTGCTGCAACTAAATGTTTAAAAAATGAAATTTCATTTTTCTACTTCGTATAATGAAATATAAGGTAAAGCTTGATATATTGCAAATACCTATGCAGAATACACGGCTTCCATTTTGGTTCGGTTGAACTGTATAGCCTTTCGGACACGTACACGTCCAATTCCCCACGCTGTTGCTACATGTTCCATTACAGTAGTACGAATCATTTTCACACTCATCAATATCTGTAGGATATTGAAAAATCAGCTTGATATTTCTTCACTGCATATAACAAACTTGTCTGTTAACATCAAAATTGTATGTTATCTTTAATAATTTGATCAAAGTCTAGTAACAAGATTAATTGCACGGTTTTGACGTGTATCCCATGAAAATTCTACCGTTTTATAATTCGCTGTAAAAGTGCAAAACCACGACATATTTTATATTTCTGTTCAAACAACAAAATAATCAACGTTGATATCGATTGTATATTACCTTAATTGTTATAAGTTTCCTTTTTATTGGTACGGTTATTTTTATGGAAACGTCATTTTTGAAAATTGGCTGAAAATTTTACATCATTCATTTATGAATACAAATGTATAATATAAATAATTAAAAATACATTTTGTCATTTACCTTCGCACCTTCTTACTGTCTCAGTTATATTTCTAGCTACGAATCCATTTTTGCACAAACAATCCCAGTTTCCAACAGTATTACTGCATAGCGAAGAATTTTTCTCTCCGTGACAAGAGTAAATGTCATGTCTAATACATTCATCTATATCTGAAGTAAGTAGAAAACGGATTGAAAAATGATGTAAATGTGTGTAGCAGATGAAAGTTTGCAGTCGAGGTAAATTCGTTGGCGGTCTGTTTTTTTTATCTTTCTTTCACGAAAGATTTTTTACTTTGTGATTTCAAATACCAGTCATATAAATATGTTTTATTTCGTACTAAAACGAATGTACTAGAGACAAAAATGTTGATAACTTATGATTAAGCGATTTTCAAGAGTGTACCAAAATTTCATTCAAACAATTCAAGAAACTGCAAATTAAATACAATTTTACATCTTTTTTTCAAAAAAGATTTCCCTTTTGTGATTTCTCATTCCTATCACCTAAATCTATCTATTTCCCACTAAACCGAATTTACTAGAGACAACAAAGTTAACTACTTATCGTAATCATACTTTAGGCATTCTAGAACAAAAAAAGATATATTTGTAATATTTCCTTACAGAGATTAGACTGTTGATTTATCTGTTGCATTTAAAACATCACATAGTCATATGAATAAATGTATAAATGCGCTCATGTTGTTTACGTGCAATTCGATAACATTGCAAATAATAAAATATACAAAGAAATATGAATATCAATGTTAAACAACATTTTTATCAAAAAAGAAAATGTTAAAGAAATCTCGTATTTCAATTGTGGTTAAGATAAAATATTCCGTGGCATAGTAAAATATTATCACACATTTAAATACATAGCAAAACAATGCATAGCACATGAAAGCGTTAAGGATATGAAGATCATTAATGGAATAGTAAATAATTAGAAGGGGAGAGAATAAAAATGATGTAAATGATTGTGGAAAAATGTACCTTTATATTATAAACAAAAGATTGAATACACCACTAAAATAAAAATATCATATCACTAAAATGAGGGTATTGAAATGTGTACATAGTCTTAAAACATGAACCGTTAATCGTAAGGTATTTTAGAATAACAAGTAATATTTTAGCTTACCGTCACAGGTGATATTATTCTTTCCATGATAAGTAGATTCAAATCCAGATAAACAAGAACATGTCCAGTTACCAAAAGTATTTTTACATTTTCCTCCATTGTTACACGTTTGGTTAACGCATTCATCAATATCTAAAACAGTTAAATATACAAATTTCTAAAGGAAATTTGATACTGCCTTTAGTAGCAACTAAGGTACAAAATGCAGTAATCTCATAATTATACTGAATGTAAAATAGAACGTTTAAAAATTAAAAATTTTGATTGATACTACTATTTTCAAAAGATAATAAACATATAGTATCTCAAAGTTTAATTATAAATTGCAACAATAATTAAGTATGTCTCTCAGTTCTTAAAAATCAAAACAGTTACAAAGTACCTCCACATTGGTATGGGCTATGTGTTGGGAAAAATCCAGCTTTGCATGGACATGTATAGTCTCCATTGGTCACTTTACAGCTAGTTGTCTCTTTATCACACTTGATTAGGTTTTCAACATTGCAAATGTTGAATCTAGACTCTATAAAAATAGTTGTATCTGACAATCATTACAAGTGGGAATTGCGAGATATTTCTAAAAACAACTAATTAAACCTGAATGATAATTTTAATATTAGATTAGATTAAAGGGACAAAATACCAAACCAAATTTATTTTTTTTATCGGAAGTGTGCCAAAATCAAGTCGTATATTTTATTTTCAAAACTAATTGCGACAAGTCGTAACTTAATATAAACGTAAATAAAACAAAATAATGTTATTTTTTTTTAAAAAGTAAATCAATTCACGTATTTAAGAATTGATTTAATTGTAAGGGAGTCATTTTCTCAATTATTCACGGCATTTTCGGGACAAGCACTAAAAGCAATTTATAAACTTAACTCTTATATGCAAAAAAATCCTTAATATCTAAGTTCCACATAAACTAAGTTGTCTTTTTGACAAGTAAAACACATTATGCTATGTATATGAGGTATGGGGTTTTATAAAAGAAAAAGGAAAAAGATACATTTGAAATTTTGCAAAAATTATTCGGAGTAAAGCGACAATCTCAAAATAGCTTCGTGTATAATTGAGAATAAGGCAGGAAACAATTAATACTGTTTGAAATGATTCCATTTTAAATATTGCAATCGAAGCAACATTTGTAATACAAAATAACAATATAATGATCTTTAATATGAAGCAAAAAACAAATTATAAATGCTAGGCTAATTCAGAATTAACAATTACACCAGAGATAACTACATACAAAACTGGACAGAATCTCTGCGCAATTCATCAAAAGATTTCGCACATTTACCCTTATCTTGAACAAATTAACTTTCAGAAATTTAGAATAGCATAAGAATTTTTTTAGCGTTTAGGCTACTACTATGTAGCTACAATCGAAACATGGAGTTTGTATAAACCAAAGAAAATTCCAAGGAACGAAAGAAAATGCTATGTAGCAAGCTCGAAGATAAATACCATTTCCTTTCAGAATGTACATTATATTGTGAAAAAAGACGTAAGTATTCACCGAAGTACTACTGGTAAAGACCTAACATACCCTTTTTTAAATCGAATTTATGACAAATGAATAGACTTTTATGATTAGAAGGCTGTCCATCTCTATTTATATAGCTTTTGAAATCCGTACAGCAAGTTACTTTGTGTAAAATACTGTGCATTATACTTTTCTCCTGCATCGTCATTTTACGAAGATATATTTAAAACTTTCTTCGTTTACTAATTCAATAGTTCAATACAATATGATATAATTATTGTAATACTATATACTATATGTAATTGTATTCGATCAAAAGAGGTGGTGAGGTTATATCGTTTCTTAAATGTGCATAGTCTTAAGACAATATATATGACACATAATTTATTTATGACTTATTACATAAAATGTGTGCCTTAAACTAAAATATAATGCGACTATGATTGACTGTTTTATGCCACCATTGACCTATTTATTTGTAAACTGATTGATTGACCAACCTTACACTCATGGGTTTGTGGCCTCTTGTGAATAAAGTTATTATCATATAACGACAACAACCTTTAGACAAAAGTATTTATGCGTTTCATTATGCACAAAAATATAAATAGTTTTGAGCAAATGTACCAGTTTAAGTTTTGCTAGTGAAATATTATATAAAAACTAATTGAATAAGTTTAAATTCACAATCGTTTTGATATATGTTTTTTCTTAGATAAATGGCAGGATATTTTCAATAGTAAACTCTACATACCACTGACAATCGACGCATTCACAAAACCAATATTTCCAGTAAAAATGGCTTGTTGCTTTTCATTAAGACACTTTATTGATACAGACTCACCCAAATGCAGCACATACAGAACATCTTGATTACCATTTTCGCTTTTGGAAGAGAAAAAGAAATGCGTTAAATATATATTTTCTTTTATTTATTATTTTAAATCATTTTAAAATCTGATTGTTATTCTAGTATGCTGAAGTAGTGTATTATGTCAATATTTGCCAAAGACGGTTGGTTTAATTTTCATTGGTGTAACGCGTACGGTACAGAACAATTCACTATTTTGGGGAAATATGTGTAAGTTGCGGGATAGCTCACTTGCTAGAGCCGTGGAACGTTTTTCTGAAGGTCCTGGTGTTCGAATCCTGCACAGGTTGCACAATTTCCTCATTTCGTGGCATTTGGCGCCAAATGAGGGACCGTTACTGCATATAGCTTAGAGTTTTATTGCATTGCTTTACTCTTGTAAGCCAGCCTGGTAAATTTGAGAACGAATTTCATTTTAGCTTGTAAGTATGGATAGAACTGGTCTCTATATAGTTGAAAATATGCAACCGCGTAGCTAAGTCGGTAGAGTTCGCGTTATGGTAGACCGAAAGTTCTGAGTTCGGAAAGGCTGCATATTGTCAAAACCCTGTTTGATAAGTTTAGAGATGTCATATAAAAATACTTAAGAAATTGCAATTGTATTTATACTGAAATTTATATAACAATAAGTGAAGTGTGTGGTCGATTGTCTTCAATGAATTCTCTCCATTGAGATTGAAACAAAGCAGTGTTTTTAATTAAAATCAGAAGAAAATATTACTTATTTGCTATTTCGATGATATCTAGTTTCTTAAAAATATCATATAAAGCTGCTGTTTCCTCTCCGGCTGCATCATTTATGGAACAATTCACACTCTTTGGTGCTTTTAAAAATAAGTTTGACAACTGGAAAATAAATGACAGTATCAACAATTGGAAGAGCTCATATTGTAGACACATACTTTGCTAAATAAGTATAAAATAACCTGTCAAACAAAATATATGGGATATTTTGATTACAAATATGGGATAAAGGATTTGATACATTGTACGTGTTTTAAATTACACAAAATATGCTATTGTTAAATTGAAAAAAAAATATAAGAATGTAAACAATGCTTTGCAACATCAGTATAAACATGTAAGCTACACGTAGTGCGATTTTTTTATGGAAAATGTTGCAAAAAATGTGTCGTGGACATTTTATGAATAACATCAACAAAAACACAAAAAAAAAACGAGAACATATTCTATACTTTACCTCTAATTCTACATGTGAACGGGTATTGTTGTAGCCTTGTTTGAGTGAAACATTTCCAATGTACTGATATTCACCTGTCAAATTTGAATTGAAAATAAATAAAATAAGAAACATTATTTTTTTTAAACTTGTTGCATTCATGAAATAAGTACTATTAAGTAAAATTAAGTGTTAATGAATGTTTAGACTATTATGTCTTAATTTTATATATATATGAACTTTAGTTCATTTAAATTTAAGCGAATGTTTACCTTCACATCTCATTCTTTTCATTTCAACTCCAAGACTTTTGTTATAACGTTCGCTGTATTTTTGATTCCTGCAAATGCAATCCCAAGATCCTTCCGTGTTTATACATTGACCGCGCTGGCACAGATCCGTCATATTTTTCCATTGGCATTCATTTATGTCTAATAATCAAGAAAGCATATTTTTACAATAAAAGTAAATAAACTGCTAAGTTAGCGTTGATGACCTATCATTCGGGATTTAAGCTTATCTATCTTTGAGAATAAAGAATCAAAAATGTTGTCTCATAATTAACGTTGAGGCAGTATATTAAAATTTGAATTTCACCTTTTAATTAAACTGTTTCATTTATCGCCGATGATGATTTTTTTCTCGAATGTTACAACTGTTTACAATTCTGTACATACTCAGCTAAAAGTCACCTAGCCCTTTTAAATTGTATCGTTTATTTTCTTCTTCTTTTGATATTTAAATGTCTATCTGATATGGTATTTTTAGAGATGAGATTTTATATAGTACATTACCTTGACATTGGTAAGGATTATTAAATTGCCTGGAAAATCCATTTTTACATGGACATGCATAACTTCCATTGTGAACCTCGCATGATGTTGTCTCTGTATCGCATTGCGTCTTGTTATCAATGTTACATAAATTGAAAATAGATTCTGAAAAAAACAAACAATATTTATGTTTAACATAAAAGTAACTTATAGTCAATCCAAAGTTGTGTAACTACAGAAGAACAATGGAAAAAACAATAAATACTACATTCTTACATTTCCAAGTAACCATTCAGTATAAACAACATACTGGATACTTCTCAAGCCACATATCATAAAATCATGTGAATACTATAATATTAATGAGACATGATAGGCTTGCACAAGCTAAATAAGTGTTTCGTTTTGACGTATATTTTTGCATTTGTTTAATATAATGTCGATAAAAGGATTATTTAACAAGTTATTTACAATGTGGGAGATATTCTTTTGAGACTTCCAAAACTGTTTTCGCGAAAGAAACAATGTGATACTCGATGTTAAATATCCAGTCATTAATAATTCTTAATTTTACCGTCTATAATTGTTGACTTATCAATTGTGACAATGACAGTGCCCAATTTTGTATTCTGAGACTCATTGATCACTTTGTCTTGAAATTTGTTCACCCAAGTTGTAGATACACTCTCGCCGATATGTAAGACATATAATATTGTAAACATGTGAGGACTCCTATAAAGTAAGGTACGTGTATTTCATGTGAATAATCGGAAACAAACTTTTAATAGGTAATTCTTAATTGCTGCAGGTATGACTAACTTTTATTGAATAGTTTAAAGCTATCGGTCGACACTCCGATTACTAATTGTGTCTGGATAAAGAATACACCGAAGCACTTGAATAGAAATAAGGGATTTTGTATTTTTTAGAACACAGTCACCGCTTAATAAAGTAAAACGGTAGTAATTTTATTTGCAAGATAATCTTGATTATTATTTAAATTTTACGTTAAAACGTTTTAAAGGAGTTCTCCAGATATAACCATCGTAAGCAGGAAAAAGTACCGTTTTTATTATTTGTTTTATCAGTTGCAGTTTTGCACCCTCGAAGATAGATAATGCAATGGGAGCAGTAAATCGATCTGTTTTAACTCTTCGTTCAGTCCACTATAATTAGACATTTGAATGTGAAAATTATCTTTTATAATTTTTATCTATAGTCTTTGATTGTAATTTATTTTCGTGTATGTTGAGTTTTAAAGTACCAATAACTTACCCCTTTGTGCTGTTTAAAAAGTCGAGTTTCCAGAATATATCAGACATGGGTGGAATTCCATCATTTTGATTAATCTTCTCTCTATTTCTTTTCGAAAACAGAGGTGTAATCTATGGATTTAGGAGGAAATACCATAAGTTCTATTTAAGAAAAAGAAGGACTAAAACAACAGCAAAAGACACACAAAGGAAAAACTACATGTATGTTGTAATCAGCTTTTGTCAATGTTTAAAACCTCATAAGGTTTCCAAGCACTCTTCAAGTAGAAATATGCAGCCTTTATTTCTCTGTATCTAATAAACGTGTTCAAAGCTCGCATTAATTGAACTTTAATTTATTAAAGATGAAATATGAGCGTCCAGTCTAGAATGCACACAATTAAAGTCAAATGTTAACTTATCTTTGTTTCTATTAGAACGCCCGCAAAATATAAACAAAAACTTAGAATTTCATTTTTTCCCTTTAACTTAATCGTAATTGCAATAAAATAATGATAATAATCAGAATAATAAGAAAAGTAAAATATAATGATAATAATAATAATATAATGGTGATAATAAAACAATAAAATATATATGTACATATATCATACCCAATGCATTTGAGTTGATTAACTGATATACAGTTTAATTTAATAATCATTTAATATTTATTCACTTTATATTTAAGTGTTACAATGTGCACCAAGATGATTCAAAAATTTATTTGTAAGCTTTATATTTGCAATCTATGGAAATGTAAAGAAATCACAACTAAACTAATATATTACTTTATTATTTAAATATTTCCTCCAAAATGTGTTGTCTACATTTTCTTCAATGCTCGTAAAAAGTTTCAGCTGTCCGATGTACTGGTAATCACCTAAAACAGTAAAAATGTTTGTTTTCGTGAAAACGAAACATTTAAACATTATCTTAAAGGCAAAGTTCTGACTTACATCGCTTGCAATGACACGACAAGATGACTACGTTGTACATAGCTATCCCAAATATCAAAATATAGGTATAAAATAAGATATTTATTAGAAAAAAGGCCGTCGACTTTCACGGTCAAATCTTTTTTTATCAAAATATTACCAAGATACAAAAAAGAGTTTAGGACAATAGGTCTATAGATATAAAGATACAGTCACTAACAGGTTTAATGTATCTGTAAATGTAAATAATACAGAAGAAACGAATCGCTGGAATTGAATGAAAAGTTGAAATTTGCAGACTCTTTTCAATTCATTAGATATTATGTAAGTTGAACCATCTCCCCTTTCCCATAGTATCGATCAAATATATCTTTTTCTTAACAAACTTAAAATGCATGTTTCAAAAAAAATTTTTTTATGTGATTTTACAAACAATATATTAAATGATAAAGATAATAAACTGAGTTGGGTTATTTTACCTTCACATCTGTACCTTTGTATGTCTCCATCAGATGTATTTTGAAGATGTGTGTAGATGTGATTATCACAGACACATCTCCAGGAACCTTCAGTATTTTCACATTTACCATTTACACAAAGATCCGTTTTCATTGTCTTGTTTTTGACCACGCATTCATTTATTTCTTAAAGATAAATATTATTCTATGCTTACAATTAAATAAGTATCTTTCAGGTTCATCTTTCACGTACAATCTTAATGTAACACACTCACTAAGAATTTTTATAATAATAATAATAATAATAATAATAATAATAATAATAATGATAATAATAATAATAATAATAATGATAATAATAACAACAATAATTAGAATAAAAAATAATTAAAAATAATAATAATATCTTTATTTACAGAAGGTAACACAGTAAGACATATACAGAATAAGACATCTTATTTACAATGTGGCCTTCCAAATTAAAAAAAAACTGGAAAACACACACTTATTTCAATTGAAGAAAAAAAAACAAGTAAAAAACGATTAATCACAATTCTAACATACATGTATATACACAGCTGGAGAAAAAACTCGCATTACTCCTTTTAAAAGGGCATTTTTTATATTTTAACAGGAAATGAAAACCGTTAACATATTGTAATTATCTGATTTATGATAAGTCTGCTTATTTTAGGTCGGAAATGGTTTCATCTTTTAAAAAAAAATATTTTGCGACATTAATTTTTTTTATCATAAATACAAGCATAAAAAGGGACTGGAAAAGAATGTTCAGTCATAAAAATGCCTCTCATACATGTATTTATAAATAAACATGTACATACCTTCACAAAATTTATTACTATTAGGAACTGTTTTGAATCCAGTTTTACAATGGCATCTTGTTTCACCACCCGTATCTTCACAGTCTGTGCTTCTTACATCACATTCTACACGTTCAGGTATTGTACATAAACCCTCTGATAAATAAAACAACGAAACAATATTTTGAGATGGATATTTAACACAATTCAACGTTTCTCTGATTAACATATTGTGCTTCATAAAATATCAAATTCTACTAAATATGTTCATTTAAAGTATAAGATGAATAATGTTTCAAAAGTCAATTTAAACGTTATATAATTAAAAAAAGGTATCAGATTTGATAAAAAAATGCAGAAAGCCCGCCATATTTTCATTTATCAATGAGGTATCCTTTATAGCTTCATACAATAATTATCTAGATACACTTCGGAACTTTTGTACAAAACATAAGAGAGGTTTACTGTCCTTTTTTTGAAATATAAACTGTAACTTTTCAAGTTTACAGAACTTTGTCTTTACTCGTCTGGAAATGTTGGTGATAAAATAATATTCAACGTAATATTTTGAAAAAAGAACAAGATTTCAAACTAGTTTGCATACATATTTCACATGTTGGAATGCTGGCGATAGAAACGTAAATTACGTCTTATTTGCCATATCCCTCACTTATTCTCAATGATAGACTTATGTTAATTTCAATGACATTTATATTACTTATTTACATGCGCAATGCTTCATATTTAGATTAAGAAAATACAAAGTATAGAAAAAAAGGAATCTTATGCAGTTTAAACTAAAATATGCTAATTTGAAATACATGCAATGACAATTGCTTTATTCAAAGAAAATGCCCTCCATATATGCATGATGAAGGGCTATATTGGTATATGGAAATGTTCTTCAGATTAGTCAACAGTACGATATATAATACTCACTACTTAAGACTTTAAAATTTATTGGTTGCATATTAAAAGAGATTCCCTGTCCTAAATCTGTTTTGTTGCCGTTTTTATAGTTTTCACGAAATGATTTTGACAGAATATTTTTAATGACTGTTCCATTAAATGTCTTTAATTTGACATGTACAATGAATGTTGCTTGTAGGCGATACTTCGTGTGATTTCTAGAAATAAAACAAAAAGGTTCTTTAGTTATCTGTGCAATTCTACCAAAATCAGGTAGTTTATTATAAATTAATACTTGATTTAGCATTTTTATGATCTAAAGTGTTGCTTCTATTCAGCAAGAAACATTATAACATCACAACATTTACAACTAATACAAAAACATTATTTAATAATCCGGTTGTCCTAACAGTTGCAGGTTCTAAAACATGTGTCAGTCAATTGACATGTCGGGCCCAATTCTGAATGAAAAATGTTGGCCATAATATTTAGTTAATTTCGTTTTTAATATTATACGTCATGAAGTTGAAGCTGTGTTTAAGCAACTTACTGAATGACAGTGAGTCCGACAACATCAACGTTGAGAAAAGAAGATCCATTAAATCCGTACGTCAGCTTTATGAAAAATCATTGAGAAATAGCATGTAAATCATTTCAGTAAAATGACAAAAAACAAATGATATCGTTGATACACTTGCAAAATTATATATGGCCACTTTTAGAATCTTGAATTCATACAAGACCATGTTGGTCTTACAATAAACATAAAGAAACAGATCTGTGTAATTCATTCTTAAATCTCGACAATACTTGTCTTTCAAAAAATAGCACCTTGCTGTTAATGTTTTCATTGATAAAAGGTGCAAATTACATTATACCATTGCACATGCATTATTTTGTCGCATTTCTCTATTTATTGTTGAATGTGCTTTCAAGTGAGTTGCTTATCACATTGAATTTATTGCCCACTTAAGGACTAAGCCAGTTTGAGATTTTTTAAACTGATCAGTTTAAATGAAAACTATTTTAAGATGAACAAACTATTAACGGTGACCATCTTACAAACATCATGGTTGTGTTTTTGTGTTGTTATTTACGATACAAAGAAAGATATTTTTTTTAAAAAGATGCCAATCTTAACAAAAAAATGTTATACTTTTTTCTGAACGAGAGATCCTGTATCCTTGATCGAATCGTTCTCTACTTTTTCTCCGACTTGAATCATTTCAAATTCTATAGATCCGGCATACGACCCTCCGTCTGGAAAAAGTGGCATGAATATATTTTTTGTTGGATTTTATTTTTGTATTATTTATTAACATTCAACACATTTTTCAATTATCTAACCCACTTTAAGGAATTTAAATTATGTAGACGTCTTTTGTTCTTTTTTTGTTTGTTTTAAAAGTAATATTCATTTGAATAAATATTTATATTATTTTTTATCTTACCTATTTTCTTACAATCATTACTTTCATCTCTTTGATAACCCGGTGCACAAAGACATGACGAGTTTCCCAAAGTATTCACACATATTTCGGTCTTCTTACATAGTTTAGTACCTCTGCTGCATTCATCTATATCTGAAAGGTTTTATATTGTTTTTCTATATTGAAGGAAGAGCTTGTTTCTATCTGAAGTCAAGCAACAAATAAAATGATTTAAATATCCCTACTTACGATTATTTTGTTCAAGTTGTTTTGATCATCACATTATATCTAACTTACAAGTAAGCAGAAAACATGCAGCAAAATAAAGTGCAAGGCATGAACAATTGCTTTAAAAAGTATTTAAGCACAATTTCCATCTCTTTCAAGGTAGGCGTTAGAAATATTAAGACAAGAACCGGTTGAACCGGGTGATGATCTCCGAGTAGGTTTTGGACAAAGAAGTATAAAAAAATGAACAAAGGGTAACAACTCCAAAAAAAACTAGGGGCAGAATAATGGTTATTTTGCACTTCACTTCATTTCTATTCTATGAGATCTATCTATCTATTAAGTTTCGTGATGATATATCTTATAGTTTCAAAGTTATGTCCCGGGTAAAATTCAAAGTGTAAAAATAAACAAAGGGCAAAGACTCTAAAATTAGACAAGCCTGTGTTTAGGATCTTTAGCATTGCAGTGCTATCCAATGGGATCTATTTACCTAAACAGTTTCATGTGATACCTCATATAGTTTAAGAGTTATGTCCTGGACAATGTTCAAAGTGTAAACATAAACAAAGGGCAACAATTCAAAAATAAGGCCAGGCAGAGTAACGGTTCTTGTGCATTGCACACCTTCTTAATGAAATCTATCTATCTACAAAGTTTCATGTTGATACCTCTTAGAGTTTTAGAGTTTTGTCCAGGACAATGTTCATAGTGTAAACATAAACAAAGTGCAATAATTCACAAAATAGGCAAGGCAGAGTTACGGATCTTGTGCACTGCACACGTACTCAATGTGATATATCTACCTAAGTTTCATGTTGATACCTCTTGTTGTTTCAAAGGTATGTCCCGGACAAGCAGATGGACGGACAGACGGACAAAGCGGCGGCTATATGCTCACCCTTCGGGGAGCATAAAAATGAATGTTTTGTGAAACCATTTCTGAATATATGATAAACATTCGAAATTTTATTTCGAAATTAAAATAACGTTTAGAGCTTAAGGTGATACATCACTTACGAGTTGTCAGTAGCATAATTTAGTTACATGATATCTTATTTTATAAAAATCAATATAATCGACCCCGAGAAGCTATTTGCAAGTTGTCAGGCTGATTCGCAAGTGTCTGTCCGCAAGTGTCTTTCTACGCTCATAGTTTAATTCACAATCATACAACTTAGCACAACCACAAACGTTTCTCATAATAGCTTTATAGCTTTCCCACATAAAATAATCAAAAGTGCCTGACAGGATTTAAACCCACGGGGGTAAAAGGCAATTCGTTTGAAAACAATGGCCTAATCCATTCTGAAACCGTCACCCCTGCAGAACAATTTTTGTTTGTAATTTCTATACGTAATTACTAATATGTTTCATAACGTCAATCAAATGGCTGAACATTATGTTCGATTAGTGATATAGGTAAAGTTACAACAATTAGGTTTAAGTTAACTATGAATTTATGTTATACATCATCACTCATGTCATGAAGACAATGTTGAGTGTTTAGAAACTATGAATTGCATATTGTTTAAACAGCGCGCTCAAAAGAAAAGGGTAATAAGTCCGAAAGAAGATAATTACGAATGCATTGGCGAAGCATATATTTGCTTACCATCGCATGAATGGCCATTTCGATTTAATTCATAGCCATCGAAGCAGTTACAATTAAACGACCCATCAGTATTTGTACAATTCTGCTCACACTTGTCAGGTCCAGAATAACCAACACATTCGTCAATATCTATAAAGATAGAATTCATAAGTGACAAAATGTTATATTCAGAATAACGGATAGTATATATTTAAATCATATTGCTGATCTGAATTATTTTTGATACGTTTTGATTTGATAAGTGTGTTTAGGGTGATGCATAATCGAGAATTCCCGATGAAATATGCTGTTCAACAATGTCGTTCATAATGTTTATTACAAAATTGAAAGAAAGAAACATAGCAAACATTATTTGTAACATTATTCAAAGATATAACTACGAATGACTGATCTCATTGTAAAATACAAAAAAATAAAAAAAAAATAAAACCATATATCAAAATAAATACAGTCAATTATAATACATATAGAATGCTTAATAGACAAAAATATGTTCTTAACATTATCTTTCTGTTACTGAGTAATGTCATTTCGCAATTTTGGACGATTGACCAATGTATTATTGCCATATAAAACAGTAGTTTGGTTTTAATTTCAATATGCATTTAAGCAGATTTAAGAAATGTGCAGTGATTCAAAACCTAGTGCTGAAATTAAAAATGCGCTTACAATTTACACAGTGAAGCTTATATGCATATGCTACTAAGCCAAAGTCACGAATTTTGCGCTAATTTTCAATATTCGTTTTAAGCATGAATCGTGTGAGCCGATATTTAAAAAAAATACACGTTACCCTGAGCAAACGATATTCGTCTTCATGATAGAGTGAACTATGATATGCAGAACAAATGGAAATTTCATTTTCATACCAGCAGTAAATTGATAATTTTAAATAGTTAAAGTTCCCTTTTCATATGTTAACGATTTCCTTTCCTAAAATGTGTGAAAATGGATTTACACGATTAATCACGACTTTTCTTTACAAGTAATATCGAAAACACTGTATATTATTTTTTTTAATATTTTGTACGAATTGATCAAACTATACAGTTTGTCAATAGAAAAAGATACGAAAATCAATCCTGATGACCCAAACAAGCAACGTCCCAAAAAAGCATTATTCTGAGATTGACTTGCGCACGCAATTTCATACGGGCTATACTTCCTAGCTCAAGAAAAGTCTGAACCATACACGGCCAAACCATTATTTATTTCAAACGGTTTGACATAAAGAAAATACATATCTACACCTTTTATTGCCATAAATCTGACGATTATAAAATGTATTTGCTACAATTCAGATACATATTTCCAGTGAAGAGATATGCGGTTTGTTTGTACTTAATATATCTTCCAAAATGAAATTATTCTCCTATTTTCCAATATGCGCTAATATTCAAACATTTACCTAATTTCGAGGTTCTATTCTACGTTACCTTTGCATGTCTGATTATATCCAGGCATCAAATGTTCCATTCCCTTTGGACAAGGGCCGCAAGGCCACGACGGTTTTGACTTGTAATCCATCACATTACAAACATCATTGTAGCAGTTATAGTTCGGACAAACATCTTTGATACCTTCGCAATACGACCCGTTTGTGTAGTCTGGACAAGTACATGAGGCTTTCACCACAGTATCTGAATAAAAACACATCAAGTTATAGTTAAATTTATGTCGTTTTTGTATACAGTAACGTTTTATTTTGACACTCAAAGAAATGCCAGGACCGCTTACGTTCAAATATCTTATCCATACTTGTTGCGAATGAGAGATCAAAGAAAAAATTTCAATTTTACTAAATGGAACATGGTTACCTGAAGGATTGTATGTAGTTTCATTAAATGAACAAAACGAAACTTCACTACATCCACAATAAAAGATTGGAAAACTGAAAACACTGCTAGCATTAAATGAGTCGTATACGATGAATTGTATCCCTGTGTCTATTTCTCGTAAACCAGTGCCAACGTTCCATGTGAAGATTCCATTGTCTGAAGGAGAAATTATATATAATATCTATTATTTAAGTAGAATATATTATATAATGTAAATTATCTTAGATAAACAATTCGTCTATCATTTATTTGAATTTTCATATCACCAGTTTGTGATAACATCCCAATTTTGTTCTTTGTAATTTATAGATTCACAAAATAAATAAGATATAAAATATAAATTTGTTTTCAATAATGCAATACTTTAATTTCCTCAAGAAATAATAAATAGATCATTGCTGTAAAGGGTTTTATTTAATTAAAAACAGAAGTTTTGAAAGAGTCATAAACTACAAACATTTCATAGATATATCAATAAAACTTAATATAATTATGCAGTGTTGGTTTACGTTCATAACGGACTCAAATGTCTAAATTAAATACATTATATTCTGTATTTATAAATATTTATATACATAAATAATAAATGAATCAACAAAAAGGAAATCAATGCTCTAATGGACATGAACACAACGACACGCAACGAAAAAGATACAACAGCTATACAATAGTACAGCAGGTCTGCAAATGCACCAGCAAAAGATCCCGTTGGTATTCAAACTCGCGACCTATCGGTTAAAAGCGAAACTATCAACATCTTAGACCAAATAACTTAAATTATTACCTTCACGAAGTTTTCAGATGTAGGTAAGTGTGCGCTCGTATCATATCTTATTATGATACATTTTGATTGTTTTAATAACCTGACAGTTTGATAAATAAAATCACTTTTTTTCACAATATGCAATTAAAGATAATAGTTTCAGAAATTACATAGCATGAATCTGATTTTAAAATTAAATTATAACTGATAAGAGCTATTCTAAAAAGATTTAAGATATATGTTATCATTACCAATGTAATACTCATCCTTTGTTAAATTTGTGGCAACATCAAACACGAAATTTTCTGGGGATGTATTATCATCGGTAACATAATCAGTAAGATTAATAGTCCATGTTGAGTTGATATTGACAGTTATAATTCTTTCTGTAAGGTTTGGTGATACAATTGGAGCTTTATTATCTGGAAAAAAGAAAGACACTTTTGAATTATTGATAAATTAATTCACTTTGTCAAACAATATTCAAAATAAATTATTGTTTCAGCCATATTGTATAATTTCATTATTCAAATATAAGACCAGTTATTCAGGTAAACAAACGTCTGATAGATAATGATTGATCAGCTTTTGGTACGGACTCATTTTATAAATGTTGCACACTGATCCGACAAGAATTTGAAACTACTACAATTGTGTGAGAATAGTATTGCTCGAGTTTTTTACAAAATATTCCAACACATTTTAGTTATGGTAGTCGGGACAAGCAGAAAAAAAAATTTTTCTGGTGAGTCACAGACATGTTGTTATTCATGGTAGCAAACTCAATACAAAAACGTATAACACAGATATGCATTATAGGTAAAAACATTTTGTAGAAATATATAAATTGAAACTGCTAAACGTTTTTTAAAATTATCTTTGTCACTGAATGACAAATATCTTTTTGAAAGGAACAAAACAAATGTAAGTAGTCAAAAGCTTGTTCTGTATTTGAATACGAAATTTGACATGAATTTAAAATAATGTAATAAATAAACTTATAGCTTTTTAAGAAGAAAAACTGTTCAATGTAAACATTTGATATTGTGTAACACTATAAAATAATTCATACCAACGATTTGTTCATTTTGATTGCATCGTAATAATGTCCTTATCCGACATTATTTTCATTGATATGTTAAAGGTGGACTTCATGTATTTATGGTTTGAAGCTACATTTTATGCAATATTTTTATAAGTTATATCAAAAGTAAAGATATGCTGTTTCCATAAAAAACTTTCTTGAATGAGTTGTTACATTACAATTAATGTCTCTGTTATTGAACACACATACATATCGTAAACAAATTAAAATGTTAAGGGACAAACATATCATGCTGTTATTTTAAATTAACAATGATTACACGCGGTATTCGCTTTTAGGTCAATATACTACTATACTTGTTGAAAATAAGCATCTTAGGAAGTTTTCTTTTTTAAAAATTGGGATGATTATCTTTGCAGAAGAAAAAAGCTTTATTCACTTAAACGATTGTAAAATACCTGTAAAGCTTTCTAACAATTCAACATTCCCTGATCACATACAATGTAACAATATTTTATTTAAGTATTTGTTTTCCATTTCTTAGAATACATTTTTTACAAAGGTTTATAAGACCAGTTTTGTTTTCAAATGTATACTGAAAACGAATGATGTAGGAAACCATGTGTGACAATTTGAATTAAGTGTTGACGCAATGCTACCAAAATGAAAAAAAAAGAAGATATTATATGCTATAGTATGCCTGTAATTAAAGTTTTTTCAATCGGAGTATATAATAATGACAAGTAAGGCTTTCGATGCTTTAGAAACGTGATATTAATCATATGATAATAAATATATTACGATTTATTTCCCATATATAACGTGTAGCATTTTCATGTCGCATAACATCTAATCCTAGGTCATAATCCCCCGTTCTTGCAATAGTAAGAAGGCACTGCTTATTGGGTTCCTTGTTCCAATAATTTCTACATGTTTTGTTGAAAAGTGTTATATTATCTGGTGTAAAGATTTCGAACAATGCCGTCAGGTTGCCAAGTTTGTCTTCGAGGAACTGTGGTAGTGTATGTTGTGAGTTATAAATTGTATAATTTCCGCCAGTCTCTTTGTATTTGAAAACACTCTGCGATTCATTTTGTAATGACCCTAGCAATCAATAAACATAAACATGTCACTTTAAGTGTGAATTAATACAAAATTGGATTTTTACATTAAGTTTTTTTTGTACGTCAAATCTCATTAAACGTTAAAAATATTGAGATATCTCTCATCTATATACCCATTTCTGATACAGACAGATAACAAACAGTGTACGTGTTTAGATCAAAAATAACTCTTAGATGCCGTCACATGTTGTTAAATACGGGCTTTAAGATCACAGGTGATAAAATGTGTTTTTATATAGTGAAATATGAAATTACAAATATATTTATTAAATCCAATGTAACAACGAAATTTCAATTGTTCATTATTGAAATCTAAATATGAAGATACTTCCAAACTGTTCTTTTGTAAAGTGTTTATGACATTTTTCGATATCACTACAACGTACATTAAAATAACAATTAATCCAGAGAATGCGAATCAACGTACAAGATTCTGCAAATTGAAACAATGCTGATGACGATGCATTTTCAGAAACTTTTGTTTTATTTCTCGTCATGTAGAAACCGTCCTCTCGATGTCCCGCTAGGCCTTTAAAGTTTGTTAAATTTGCCTTAGTGTCTCTACTGATCTGTACACCCAGGAAATTGTCAGTCCCAAACACCAGCTTCGAAAAACACACAGAAAAGGAAATAAAACACGCAAGTAAAAATGTTTCATTGAAACTCAAATACAAGACAAGTTATGATAAAAATGTTATTGGAAAACCACTTATTTAGAATTAGAACAAAATTAAAACACCAATCATGTCCTTTATTAGAGTAAGCATGCTACAAGAAGGTCAAACCTAAGATCTGTCAGCTGCAGTCACTTTAATCATAAGGCAACCTCCTTCTATTATTATTCTTATTCTTAACTCTGATGATTTAAACAAATCCCACAAATAAGCTTTCATGAATAACATAATAGTTCTCATTTAACTTTTATCGATATACTAATTGCAACATCTAACAGTACTTTCAACGTTTATTATTATGGAGTAGTGTACATTAAAAAAACAATTAAAAAAACAAAACTCTTGAAATATCAACTTCATATAAATAAATACCTGTTTGATATCAGATTTGAAACCACAGTTAAGTATAGTAATTTTACCACCACCAGCTAACACTAAACAGTTTTGTCTTGGAGGAAGTTCGCAGGGAGGAGGTCTTCCCTTTTGTAACATTGATGATGCTTTACAATTGCTAATTGGTGTACCATTCCGAAAGAGTATGATTTCTCCTGCTTTCCGATCGTAATGCAGCTCTACTTGCTCGTTTGACGTTTTATCCTAAACATACAAATACAATATAAATATTGATATTGTAAATGATCTTAATCTCGCACAACCTTGACCAGCATATTCAAAGAGACATACCATCTAATTAAATGATCATATAACTGTCTCTTGAAAACAAAACAATATATCTAAAATGTAAAGACTGTCTCGCCATATGTTATGACTTAGAAATATTAAAAACAGTAAGCTTAAAGTTAATGAAAGGGTTGAGATTTGAAAATTGAATATGTCTAGATATATCGTTGCTATATATTACATTTGTCATAAATTGGTATTTTAAATGTGAGATATTCGGAGTGCTCTTTTCAGACTAAAACAAGATATTGCAATTCAATTTATTCTCTATCCGTATGTATAATTATTTAACAAATGCCAATTCAATGTAAGTTCATAATAAACTATTCCTTTAAATAAGATAAATGACTTTGTTAAAAAATTCAAGATGACACTTACAAGCAATGCAAAGGCAGAAAAATATGTCGAATCTTTGTTTCCCGTCACAACATATTCTGTTCGAGCTTGTATTTCAAAGTTTCTGAAGTAGCCAGATATAATATTTCATCGTGGAAATTCTATAGCCTTATCAATGTTTTATTATATAGACATTTTCGCTTTTTGTCTTAATAACAATATCAATGCAAATAAGTCGATAAATAGTGATATATAGTGCGCCATATGCAGGCGATAAATAGTGATATATAGTGCGCCATATGCAGGCTGCAATTTTTATGCTCTTCAAATTTTGATTTATTACGCTTGAACAAGCTGCTTTTGGGTCTGGATTTTTGGCAGGGAACTTGTAACCAACATGTTACAGAAATTGATTTTATGATTTATATTTGGATTTATGAGTTATTTTGAATTGAAAAAGTTTGAAAATAACAAATATTGGAAAAATTGGATATACAGTATAATTATATCAATTGTGTTGGTGAACACCAAATCACCTGAAGTCATGGCTAATCCATGTACAATGACAGTGAGACAGTACAATAGAGAGCAATTATTGGATTGTAGATCTGTGCCTAGAAGCTATGTTATACCAAATGAAGAAACGTTATCTTTGTTGAAAAATTATGGTATTTTGAAATATAGAGGTAAACGAGCTGGCCAGCCAAGGATTAAACATAATGGTGGTGTTCATTTGGCAAACTTAGTTCAAATTAAACTTGATCACACATACATACAAAATGTCCATAGACAGAGAAAAATGAAACTTGCCACAGTTAATACAAGATCTATACGGAATAAATCGGCAGATCTTCTCCAGCATATCCTTGAAGAGAATATTGACTTTTGTTTAATTACGGAAACTTGGCTACAGACTGATGGTGATGATGTTGTTAGGGGTGAACTGGCTCAGGAAGGGTTCTGCTTTGATGATGTACCCAGGCCTGATCGTAGTGGTGGAGGAATAGGCCTTATATACAGAGATAACCTGAAAGTGTCAAGCCTTCCCAGCAAATCGTATCAATCATTTGAATGTGCTGAATGGCAAATATGTATCCAAACATTCATACTTAGAATCGTTGGCATTTATAGACCGCCATATTCTGCAAAACACCCGGTCACTCAAGCTACATTCATGACTGAATTCACTGAATATTTAGAACAAGTATCATCTCAATCTAGGTCCATGGTAATTCTTGGGGACTTCAATATTCATATGGACATGCAATCAGACTGCTACACCAAGCAATTCCAACAATGTTTGAAATCATATGGACTTGTTCAGCATGTGAATACTCCAACTCATTCTAGTGGGCATATTATTGACCTGATCATCACAAAAAAGGAAGACAAACTTGCTAGTGTAAACAATCTTCAGTCTATTACATCTCTGATCACTGTTTTGTTAGTTGTAATATTCAACAATTCTGCCCCCCTTTGGTTACAAAAAACATCATATCACGTAACTGGAAATGTGTGTCGAAGAACTTGTTAGAAGCCGATCTTGAAGAGTTAAACAGTTTAGCAGAAAAATCATCTACCGTGAATGAACTTGTGTCTGATTTCACAAAGACTGCATCTGATATAATTTGTAAACATGCTCCATTGAAAGAAAGATCAATTACTGTTAGACCCAAACTTCCATGGTACTCTGGATATCTTAAGCAATTAAAACAGTACAAAAGATCAATAGAGAAAATATACTTAAAGGACAGGTCAGATCTCACAAAAATAGTGTACAATAATGTAAGAAACTCCTATACTGCGGCAATAGCATCAGCAAAGGATCGGTTCTATCAGAGTAGAATTGGAGAGGCTGAAGGGAATGTGAAGAAGTTATATAGCGTGACTTCAGACTTGCTTGGCGTTCGAAGGATAACCCACTTCCACCTCACACCAGTGAGACGGCACTTGCAAACGATTTCTTGCGTTACTTTAGTGACAAAATCCTTAAACTTCGTGATGATCTGGATAACATAAACACAGAAACATCATCTTCAGTGATTGATAGTATTATGGCATCTGATGTACCATCAAGTGAAAATATCATGAACAAATTTATACCACTAAATGAAAAAGACATAATCAAACTTGTGAGTGAATCAAAGTCAACAACATGTGAGTTGGACGTTATGCCAACACCAAAGCTGAAAGAAAATCTTCATTTGCTTGCACCTGTTGTGACAGAAATCGTGAATCGGTCATTGTCGTCTGGTGTTTTTCCTGAGACGTGGAAGAGCGCTGTTATTAAGCCCCTTTTGAAAAAGAAAGGCCTTCCCTTAGAATTGAAAAACTATCGGCCTGTATCAAACCTGTCATTCTTGTCGAAAATTCTTGAAAAAGCTGCAATGAACCAAATTTCAAGCCACATTGAGTCCAACAATTTGTAACCATCTTACCAAAGTGCATACCGTACATTTCACAGTGTTGAGTCTGCTATGATGAAAATGTACAGTGATCTGCTAGAAACAGCTGATAGCCGCCATGTGACAATAGTTGTAATGATTGATTTAAGCGCCGCCTTCGATACTATCGATATACCAATATTACTTGAAATCCTACAGAAAGACTTTGCCATACAGGGTATTCCATTAAAGTGGATCGAATCTTATTTAACCAACAGAGATATGAAAGTAGTCATTGAACAGTCTTCATCGGATACTGAGCCACTGAGGTTCGGGGTTCCCCAGGGTTCTTGTGCTGGACCGGTGATATTTACTCTCTATATAGCTGCCCTTAACAAAATAGTCCAGAAATATCCGGCGGATTTGTATGGATATGCAGACGATCATAAAGTGGCATTTAAAATTAGAGCTGGTGACCATCACAGCGAAGAAATCGTTCGCCAAAAATTAACTGACTGTCTTAATGATATTGTGTCATGGATGACTAGATTTAAGTTAAAAATGAACAATAGCAAAACAGAAATCATCATTTATGGTACAAGACATCAGCTGAAGAAATTGAACATTTCAAGTGTCAATGTTGGTGTGGTCGAAGTCAACTGTGTAGACAATGTGAGAGACCTTGGAGTACAGATGACCAGCACTTTAAGTTTTGACATCCATATTCAAAAGAAGTGTCAGATTGCACACATGCAGTTAAGAAATTTGAAAGCAATCAGAAAACATCTCACTCAGAAATCTGCAGAAATCCTTGTTCACGGTTTGATTCATTCACATTTAGACTTTTGCAATGGATTATTCGCTGATATTCCAGCCTATCAACTTGATAAATTACAACGTGTGCAAAATTATGCTGCTAGAATTGTCACTGGAGCTGCTTACTATCAATCCAGTGCTGAAATTCTTAAATCACTCCACTGGCTTCCAATTCGAGCAAGAATCATGTACAAAGTTATTGTGACTGTGTTTTCGTGTTGCAAATGGCACCGCTCCATTGTATCTTCGTAAATTGTTCACTAAATGCCAGAGTCAGTACAGGAAAAGACTGAGATCCTCATCATCTAGCCACATTCGGTTTGATATACCATCAACAAATTCAAAACTTGCTGATAGATCCTTGACCATTGTGGGACCTAAATGGTGGAATTCATTACCAGACTATCTGAAGGACATTACCAATGAAAATCAGTTTAAGGCCAAACTTAAAACATACTTGTTTGGACTGTTTTTCAACTAGAGTTGTAGATTGGCTGTGCCATCGAGACTGGGTTTGGGAGTGTCTTGATCAAGCATATGTGTATATAGTCTTAATAATGTACAGCGCAATCGAATATTTAATACATTTTTGCGCTATATAAATGTCTTGTATTTGTATTTGTAAATAGTATATGTTGCGACTATGTTGAATGCTAGTAAATCATATGTTCAAATTGCTCTGGAAATCATTAATTTAATGTTGTAATGTAAAAGTAACCTTTACTACCTTAATACATATTTTAAACACACTGTGAAGTATGAGGTAGACATTGTGGAAACAATAAAAACAGTAGTTAAGTTAAATGATAAAAGATATTAGTTTGTAGGTATTAATTATATACCTAAACTTCTGACTATTCTAATAATGGTGAACAAATATAGGATTTAATTACCACTGTATTTATATTGCTAGTTCTAAAAAAACATATGATCTGGATGTTATAGAATTAAAGATTTTTGGTCAAATATGTGTTTGTCATAGTTTTAAAACAACTTCCCATGCTTCAGTCGTTGATTTGAAATCAATTTTCTTATTCAAATTTCAAGTTTTTATTTTAATAATCTCTGAATGAATTAAACTAGATGTACTTACTTCCCGTCCGTCAGAAATACATATTCACCATGGCCATTAAAATCATATTTTCCTCCATCTATTGTTTGTATGACAGGATCTCCTGATGACATTGCTGCCATAAAATTATTTTTAATTCATTAATATATGTATTTATCGTTAAAATACAGTCATATCAAGTTATTCTCAACAATTGTCATTAATTAAAATTATAGACTTCAGAGTTATGAACAACAGCGCAATAGTGCTACTGCCATAACCCTATGATCCAAATATACATAGTTACGTTGTAGTTTATGACCGAAGATAGTTCGAACCAATCAGCAGCTTTGATGTTAAATTTTAAGCAAAAGAAATGTGATTTATTACACTCCAATGATATATCTTAAAGAAACACTTGCTTATAAGCAAGTGATAAAAAACAATTATCTTTTCATCTACATTAGTTAAAGTAAAATGTTTGTGGCGGCCTTGCCGAGTGGTCAACGCATCGGACTTGTATTTTTGAGGATTGCTGGCCGCTCGGGTTCAAACCCCGATAGGGACAAGCCGTCTTTTGCGTGAGCAAGAAACTTTACACTCATTGCTAAAAAATGGTTTGTTCTAGGAACGGATGTAAGGGTGTTTCGATAAACTTATAGACTCCAACATAATCAAACTAAAATAAGTAAGTATAAACTTTTACTGTTTTTGAAATAATAATCATTTCGGGCGTGTTATTATACAGAAAGAATACTTACACACAACAGGTGGCACGTATGTACTACAATCATCAGGTTTATTTATTTGATAAAATGATTCACAAGATTCTTTAAATGCATGTGATCCATTACCACAGCAAATGTCATGTGCTCGTCCAATGTACCCTCCATAAGATTCTAGAAGAAGATATCCTGCACCGGGACTATCAATTAAAAGCTGACCATTCTCACTACAAATCAGATAAATGCCATAAATGTTATCAACGTAATGTTTCGTTATGAAAAACTATAATAAGATTTGTAAAAATCTTTAAAAAAACGTTTTTTATGCTTTGATAGTGGAATATCTGTTAGAATACGATTTTTTTCATCAATCATTGTTTTTAATTACTAGGCAGAGCTGATATTATTGCATGCTTGTAACTTAAATTTTCATAAAATGAACGTGGTTTATATAAATTATAGACACCTTTACATTCAATCTCTAAATAAATTAATACCCCCTTTTTAAATGAAATAATTCAGTTTTATTATCAATTTATTATAAACATGTTTTGCATGTTATCTGGCCTTGTATTACCAGAGGTTTACAATATACAACTCGCCATATATTAATTATAATGAGCTATATTACATTGCATACATTTCTAAATATTATAACAGGATAAGTATATCTTAAAAATGAAACCATGACATGCACCTCCACATACAATGTTAAATTCAAGAACCAGAATTTGAAAATGGTCCTAATACAAAACGTCTTGAATTATAACGTTCAATTTTGTTTTGCAGATATAAGCAACTTACCTGTAGCAGCACATTTGTTTGACACCGTCCATAAAGAACCACTGTTTATAGCAGTTATCAACCTTTTCAAACGTTTCATCAATCGCAATAATTTGTTCTATGCAGGGACATGGTTCTGCTGTAGCATGACCAGAAGAGATGAGATCTCGAATAACTTTATCAGCTGCAAAATCTTGACATGACACTGTATTTTCATCGGCAACTGTAGAAAAAGAAACATGCGACGAATATAAAATGTGATTTAAAATTACATTTGATATGTTGATATATTTGTAAATGTTTACTCTTTGCACAATATTTTATACTTGGCCTACCACGATACCACTTTCAGTCATATGCAAATGGAATACATGATATACATATGTTTTATTTGTTTTTCTATGTAACGTTAAAGCCACGCTGACACATAAGTTTAAGCGGCTTTCTGCTCTGACGATTGTTAAGAACACTTTTTTATTTTTCCGCATAAGACTTGATTATGAATTAATCGGATAATTTACTATTAAATTACACGATTTATTTGCTAGTCTTCAATTAAATGGACAAAACATTTATATATTGTACATCAGCTTAACACTTGTGGAGACACTGTTTGAATTTTTTGCTTTGTTGCGAAGCATTTTTATTTAATATTCGTTTATCAAATGGTAATACAATGTTTTCTTATCTCTGTATGAATATAATGGACCTGTGCAACATTTTATACGGGTATTCAATATTGGGGAACCAGGCTCAAATAAGTCCTGCGAAAACGACACTTATCTCCGTCTAAAAGGATATCTTAATTTTTATTACCTTTGACACGATCAGGAGAGTGCTGTGTGGAGGTAGATTTGACTTTTAAAATTTAATAACTACTTTCTGTATTTTGTTAGTTTAATCAGTATTATATTTGTAATCGTGTCGTTCACGTAATAAAAAACACGTTAATTAAAAATACGGATTCAATAGGAATCTTTTAAAGCTTTTCTAAATACTCTTTTTGTTATTTTGTTGATAAAGCATTAAATGCATCGATCTCCTTCAGACATTCAAACCATTAAAATTGATTATACCACGTTTTACTTCACCAAAAGGATAAAAATCGTGTGTATAAGTTTGGATAAACGTCAAATCTTATGACGACGTTGTTAACCAAAATTTGTCAAGATTGGTGATGGGACTTGACCATGGTCGCTGGGAATCTGTTCTGGAAAGTACTAACTGTATGAAAACTTTAAGGGAGGTTTATATCAAAGATCTCAAAGGAAAGCCTGCCTCCAATATTTTTATACTTTGCATATTTAAAGTTTATATGTTTAGTTTATTTTAAATGTTGTTTTAACTCTGTGTTGAGACACGCATTTCCATATAAAAGAGTATCTCAATATTTCTAATTTCCTATCAGTCGATTTGAATAGTGTTTTGCGGAAGTAGATTTGGCTCCAAAAACTTCAAAACAGCTTTTTTTAGCTTTTTTATTATTTGAATGTAATCTTTTCATTTAATGTACACAAACTTAAATTTTAGGTATTCTGTTTTAAGCCCCTTGTTTATAATAAAAATACTCTCTTAAACTTTAACGTTCATGTTAATGCTCAAATTAAGGACTTAATTGTGATACTTCGTTTTTTTTAGCGTTTATATGTAGTGAAATCGGGAGCGTCTAAATTAACGTGTAAAGCATTATGATTAACCAATACAAGCGTGTCAGCACGGCCTTTATATAAATATCATCACGGTGTCAGGTTCTCGGCACTGTTATTGGTCAGAACGAGAACTAGTTCTCCTCTTTTATTTCCAAATTTCTTATTCGTCAAGATAGTCATTTATTTTGCCCTTCTCAAGAATTGGTTGCACGACTGTGTCGTTTCATGTTTTCGTTTTAAGCCATTGTACGATTACGTTTAACATCGCTTGTTATAGAATAGTAACATTTTAAAATTGAAGAGGCCTCTTCTTTGGCACTTGTAGTTATCATTTAAAGTCTTTTGCATTTATATGATAAATTTTATTTTATTTTTTTTTAATTTTAAAATATCATGATTAACTGTAATCTACTTAGATCAAGTAAAATAATTTGTTATCTTGATCTAATACCTATTTATTGTCACAAAGGTCAATTCTATGTGAATAATAAAGATGTTTACTATTATTGACTTAATATTTGTATTTATTTTTATCACGTATTATTATTCAATTTTATGACCTGAAATATTTTATCCAATAACAAATTCCTGTGGTTACTAATGGACATATTGACACAACCAAATCAATATACTATCTTCTTCCCATTCCATATTTGTGTTATTAACTACCATGCCACGCCAAACCAAATCAATTCAGTAATGATAAAAATGACATTCCAATGTTAATGGTTATGACTGTAGTTTTTATCATTTTACAGGCTTCCTGATAAGTTAAATTTTTCTAACATTTTTAATGAATCTCGTTTATAATGTAACTGAATTTTTCGAAAATCTCTATCGATAACCCAAAAGGTCGACTTCCATTGTTTGATAGCATTTTCATCGAAATACAACAACTTGCTGATAATAAGTAAAAACCCCTTAGCAGTTTGATAAGAGCGCATTAGCCTCTCCCATATGAATTATATGTTATTAGCTTACAATCTTTGCTGCTCTGTTTTACATGGTAAAAATTTACAACCATTAATTAATTAATACATTTCATTTATTTCATGCTTTCCAGTGTTTTATTGTAATTTCAAATGATTATATTCTAATAAACCACTAGTGAAATTTATAAAATATAATTTTCACTGTAGCCGAACTATATCTGAATGCGGATGAAAAGAAAATCATAACTAAATGGAATAACAGGCAGAAATAAATGCCGTCATGCGTAAATTTTGCTTCTTTAGGAAAAGGAAATCGATGTCACCATACATCACGTTAAAATGTAACAAAGGTAGAAAAATTTAACAGAACTATATTTCAAAATTGATGATTTGACGTCATGATGTGATGATCAAAATCAGTAAAAAAAAACTTAAAATCATTTAAAAAGCTTAAATAAAAAGAAAATTTATTTGTTTTTACATATAAGATTGAAATATATTTCATTCGTGAACACCAGCTATTATATTTTCACTCGTGGCTACGCCACTCGTCGAAATATTGCATCTGGTGTTCACTCAGTGATATTATATTATAATCTTACATGCAAAACAAACAAATATCCTCTATAAATTAATACGTTTAATAATATCTTGCTGCATTAAAGCTGCTGTTAAATGGTGTTGGTGTGAAATGATGTAAAAAAAAAATGAAAAAATGTTGCTATGTAAGGGGCATGACAAATGTTTGACTTTTAAGTACCTGAAAGAAAAAAAAGGGAATTAAAATTTTCAGCGACGGATTCTATGACACATGTGTTAATAACAAACACCCTAGCTACCAATACACAATTCACATGTCGTTAAACATGTGAGTCAAGCATGACGTTTTTAATTTACATGTATCGGCTATATGTTAAAAAAACTGATTTTTAATGTGTTTCATTTAATTCTGGAAGTGAAGACACATATTTGATTATTTTATTATGCCTTTGTACAAAGCCAATAGCATGATCAGACATATTAAAATTGCCGTCTGACTTCCAGTTCATAAATGACGTCATGGTGCATGACTTGAAACTTGAATGTGGAAAAACATGGACAAACCATATGTATACATCATAGCATGTGAAACAAACGCAAATCTATTTTTGTAGCATATTTTATATTTAAATATCAATACAAATATTATTATTGTTAAATTATTAATCAATGAAATGTTAGTTTAAGAGTGAATAAACGTAACATTTAGCTTAAATTCTAATAATAATAATTGCAAAAAAACAACAACAACAAACAAACAAAAAACAACAACAATACATACCGTAGTCTCCTTTTACTATTTCAAGCGGTAACAAAGTGATCAGACTCACTAACAATAATAAATCCATTCTTTGTGATATTTACAACCAAAAGTTTTTTTATACCAGTCCTGATTATCAAGTTCAGTCTTACTCTCTTAGTCACTCTCTGCTCTTACAATTTAGAACAGTTTTGGAAACATGGTTATTTCCCATTCGTATGCACCTGACGATTTGGATGCCTCTATCCTATGCGTTACAAAACTTAAGAGTTGTCATCCACGGTATTTTCATTCAAACTGATAACCTTTATCATTATCCGCCAGGTCGACAGACTTTATCAGGTACTTAACTAGAAGGACAAATTTTATCTTAAATTCAATAATTTCATCAGTTCAAATGTAATCATTACTTAAAGCATATGTAGTTAAATTTCTCTCATAATTTAATATATTTGTGATATAAAAGTAAATATTTATGATGCGAAAGGTAGAAAATTTCGCCTAAAAGTAATCTCTTGAAAGTGATTACTTGCATGATTTCTTGCCACAAGAAATATCGGAACATAAATAGGAAAAGCGATCTTGAGAAGGACGAGATTATGCAGATTATATGCACGCTGTATATACTTCTTTCAGTTGCTTTGTAACATATATATTACATTATGAGACTCTACGACGATTTTAATTAGTTATGACACAACCAGATTTTTTTTTAAGGTAAGTTTGAAAACTGGCGTTGAATAGATGAAAAGAGTAACACATAATAATTAAGAGAGCCAACGAAAAATATAATTATTGGCTAAGAAATAAAGCACTAATAAGATAAGAAAAAGAATAAAGGTAATGATGAATAGAAAAAGATTAATATAAAAAAAAGAGAACATGTACAGAAAATAAAAAGAACATAAAATCGTTAAAATTTGTCATTATATTTACAAATCTTAGCTTTAAGAGAGTGTAGCTTTGAGTTAATTAAAATTTCAAGTCTGCAAGATTTTCAACACGCAATAAAGGAATTTAATATAGTTCATTGAATCTTATTACCATTCAATCGATATAATGTTTGATTTAAAGATATGATTAAATACAGGCTACATTACTTATTTATGGGACACTAACTTCATGAACACAATAGATAGAAGTATTCTTCAAGATTGGTCCTCATATTGCAAAGATAAAAGTGTATGTCCTCGCTTGCAAACTTTTATATCTTTTATAGCACTACTTAGCATTTTATTCCGATGCATTTAATATTTCATTACAGATCTTAAATGCAGGTAAATCATCTCAATGACAATGTAAAGATACATAAAGATTTGTCGCTGACAGACTGTCCAGATAC